GGTTTTCAAGACCCCCCCCCCCCCCCCTTCATTTTATTCCCATACCCATATAACTTGGCTCCTATACCTCCACCATTTCATTCCCATGCCCCCATTATATTTGTCCATACTCCTCTTTGGTTCCAAAACCCCCATCATTTAGTTTCCATTCCCCCATCATTTTATTCCCATACCTCCATCATTCAGTTCCTATTCCCCATCAACTGGTTCCCATTCCCCCATCAACTGGTTCCCATTCCCCCATCAATTGGTTTCCATTCCCCATCAATTGGTTTCCATTCCCCCATCAATTGGTTTCCATGCCCTCATCACTTTATTCCCATACCTCCATCATTTAGTTCCTATTCCCCATCAACTGGTTCCCATTCCCCCATCAATTGGTTTCCATTCCCCCATCAATTGGTTTCCATGCCCTCATCACTTTATTCCCATACCTCCATCATTTAGTTCCTATTCCCCATCAACTGGTTCCCATTCCCCCATCAATTGGTTTCCATTCCCCCATCATTTAGTTCCCATTCCCCCATCAATTGATTCACAGTCCTCCATAATATGATTCCCATTCCTCCATTATATTTTTTTCCTACACTCCCATCATTTACTTCCCATAACCCTATGATTTGGTTCCTATATCCCCATAACTTGGTTACTGTACCCCTATAATTTGGTTCCCATCCCCCCCTTCCTATTTGATTCCCATATCCCCATTGCTGGATAGCCCCGGTTCAAAACCCGGCACTGGAGGAAGCAACTCGCTCTGTTATGCTCTTTTGAGTACTTTGGGGGGATTTAAAATGTAACGAATGAAGTTGAAAAATAGTTGTAATATTTCTCTAATAACAAGCAGCTTCCATGAAGGCGCCTGTGGGTGGAGTGCAGTACATCACAATTATTCACGGACTGTAAGCACTGCGTCTAGGTGGATACATGCAAGGAATTAATTATGACTCATGTTTTTTAATACATGGGGTTTGTCCATCCACATGAGTCATATGAAGAATTTCTCAGAAGTGCTGTAGTTTATTTCTTTATTTTTACCCTTTTCTCCCATGTCAGTGCTGCTTATCTCCTGCAGTTTCTTTTAGCCACTTCCTGTCTTTATGCATTGACTGCACGTTGTTGCTCTGGGCCAGCTTCCTGATGGTGGACCATGCTTGGGCAATGTGTGTCGCTATCAGTGGAGCATATCATGCGGTGACAACGCAGAAGAACAATTGGGAAACAGGGACAGAGCGTTGTCACCCTATAACAGGAAGTGCCTGAACAAGGACAGAGCGTTGTCACCCTATAACAGGAAGTGCCTGAACGAAAACCTCTATGGCAGGATCACCAGGGATTATTTTATTGAAAGTTGCAGATTTAAAAAGATCAAAATGGCTTTGAAATTACATTAAAATGTTAAAGCTCTACAGTATTGTATATAGATATAAACTAGACTTGTGCGCCGTCAAAAAATGTGTTCCGTTTCGATTCGTTCCGTTTCGTAATATCCATTATTTCGTATTTCGTAATTCGTATCCGAAACTCAATTCGGATTCAGTTTCGGCACATTTTCGTAACTTTACAAACATTCGTTATGATGAAGTTAAAAAGCAAAAATACCTTTGTTAATATTGGAGTCGATGTTGTAGGTTTTTTTTTATCCGAAATACGAATTCCGTTAACTGATTCCGGATCCGAATTTCGTATTTCGGACTTAAAAAAAAAACTACCATCAACTCCAATATTAACAAAGGTATTTTTGCTTTTTAACTTCAATATAACGAATGTTCGTAACGGAACGAAAATACGTCAACGGAATTTCGTATTTCCTGCCTGTGTATTGTAATGCGACTCTCAGCAGCAGCGGATCCGGATCTCGGATTAAAAAAAAAATCTTGTCATGTTGTTCAATCTCATTTACAGGGGTAATATTAGTTCCCGTTTCAAAGAAATTCGGATCCGAAATTCGTTAACGGAATTTCGTATTTCGGATATAAATTCGGAAACTGCAATTCGGATTTCGTATGCTTACGAATCTACGAATTTCAGGAAAATTCGTACGAATTTCGATTCGTAACGAAACGAATCGCACATGTCTAATATAAACCACATCATACACCATTCAATGTCTCAACCGCTCCAAAGGCGAAAGAGTCAGGGGTGTATCCCTGAGTGCAGAGACACCAAAGTACTTCTATCCAATATTGAAACCAAATTTGGATACAATGTAACTCTGTGACTGTCACTACTACTACTACTGGGATATTATAACAATGTATCATTATGATGTCCAAACTTCATTATGAATACAACAATATATTTTATATATAAGCATTGAAATCATTAAAAAGAGTTTCATCTTCATAACCTCAATCTATGACTATGAATAGGTGCTGACACTGTCCTTCCTTCTGGAGGGGGGCAACTTGTGCCCTCCATGGTCCCTGTGTGTGTTGTAAAGTAGTCACCGCTCCAAGCTCCGCTCCCGGGATGGACTGCAATCTCATGTTTAGTTTACTAATTTGTATTGAGATCGTAGTCCATCCCGGGAGCGATCAGGGAGCGGTGACTACTCTACAACACACACAGGGACCATGGGGAACAGACGTAGCCCCCCCTCCAGAAGGAAGGACAGTGTCAGAGATGATTGGAGGATCTACAGCCGAGTGATACACAAATAAGATACATTGTTGCTCGGAGTTCGGGGACCCGGAGGGATTTTTAGGATACAACTCCGGAGTTCCGTGTTACATTCTACATGGTTGTATCGAAGCCGTCATCATAAATCGTATAAAGTAAAGAAAACGTCTTACGTTCTGCGTTTGCCGCTGTCACAAGGTAACAAATCAGCGCCGAGACGACACAAAACCTCCAGGAGGACATTGTCTCCGCAGCTCTGAACTCCTTCCCTCGCCTCGTCCTCCTGGATAACGTTTATGAATCGGATTCTATCAGAAATTACTGATTAACCGTCTCTGATAGCGAGGCATCGATCCGTCCTCCGGAACGATCCCGGCGAGGGAGGACTCTACAAGGAAACTGCAAGAAAATCTGTAAATTCATTGATGTGACAACACAGAGAGCTTGATTTGGGGGCAAATCAGTTCTAAACACTTCAAGTAGATGTAAACACTAACTGGATGACATCTTGTTTTCCTGCGCTCCGTGTGTTACAATCAGTTGCCATTTTATTAAAGGAGAACTATGAGGGGGGAGGGGTGCTTTTCACTCACCTCATAGTTCTAGCCGACCTGTGGCAATGAGACTGTCACAGGTCGGCTCAGTAGATCGGGAGGTGAGGGAACACATACCGGCGTTCGCTCACCTCTCGCTCCTGTCACGGCTCTCTGCCGTGACAGGGGAGGGGCTGGATTCCCCCCTCCCCGCTCCGATCTGCCAGCGCTGACTGGCGGAACGGACGGGGGAGGGGGCGTGTACAGCTAGCTCTGCCTCTAGATAGGCAGAGCCAGCTGTCACTCACGCAGCTGGGCGGATCCCGACGTCCATGTCGGGATGCGCTACGGCTACGGCGTCTCAGTATACCGCGAGCTGTAGCTTGCGGTATACTGAGCTTAGGGTAACGGGAGGACGCTAGTTTGTGTCCTCCCGTTACCCTAAGGAGAACTATGGGGAAAAACACTGACCCCATAGTTCTCCTTTAAATAAAATTATTGTTTTCTTTTATTTACTCTTTTGTATCATCTCAGTGCAGCTGCTTTCTTGCAGCCTCTATGCAGCCACTTCCTGTGTATGGTTGCATGGCATTTCTGAGGGTGGGTTTCCTGACGACAGAGGACCATGTCTGTGTGTTGGGATGGTCACTTATAGACTCCATCGGAAGAACATGTGACAGGCATACAGCCCATGTGATAACATATAGGAATGCAACTGGGAGACAGGGAAAGAGTGTTGTCACTATATACAGGAAGTGCCTGAACAAGGGCCTCTATGGCAGGATCACCGGGGATCGTCTTAATTGGAGCAGCTAACCGAAATGACATTAACATGTTGAAGTTGATATGTGATTTTGCTGATTGGGTTTACTTCTACTTTAAGGATCCAACGTTTGATATACACAGCCTGGCCAAAAATAAGTCACCACCTAAGCAAATAGATAGGTCTTCCATTGGATAAGTGTTATGATCTGGGGTTGCTTCAGTTGGTCAGGTCTAGGTTCAGCAACGTTATGTGCCCAGAAAATTAGGTCAGCTGCCGACCAGAATATACTGAATGACCAGGTTCTTCCATCAATGGATTTCTACTTCCCTGATGACACATTGGGCATATTCCGAGATGACAATGCCGGGATTCCTCGGGCTCAGGTTGTGAAAGAGCGGGTTTAGGGGGCATGAGGCATCATTGAAGAGGTACCGCACGTCACTGCAATCCATGTGTGGCAATTTGTGACGTGCGGTACCTCTTGTTCCGGGTGAGACATTCCCCAGCACGTCCCGCCCCCGCCCACCGAAGCCACTTCCCCGCCCGCCAAAGCCATGCCCCTGCCGACTGAAGCCCCACCCCGTCTGACGAAGCTCTGCCCCCGCCGGACGAAGCAGGGCTCCGTCCATGACAGGTTACACAGCTGTGTAACCGGTTAGATGCCGATCTGCTTGGAGAAAAAGCTGTCAGCTTCAGACTTGAAGCTGACAGGTTTTTCCTCCATAATTCTAGGTGAGGCTCCGCCCCACCGGCCTCCCCCTGACCGCACGTCCCTGATGGATTGGCCACCACAGAGTCCAGACCTTAACCCCATTGAGAATCTTTGGGATGTGCTGGAGAAGACTTTACGCAGAGCTCTGACTCTCCCATCATCACTACAAGATCTTGGTGACAAATGAATGTAATTCCGGATGGAAATAAATGTTGTTACATTGTATAAAATTATTGAAAGTCCTCCTGACTGCAGCAGACTGATCACTGAGGGCTTGTTCACACCGAAAGCGTGCGCGTTCCAGAGCGGTAGCTGCTGGAACGCACCGCGATCGCTGAGAAACTTCCCCCTGCGTTTTGGGGCGGGAGGGGGCATGGCGGTGCATTGAATTCAATGGCACCGCTTCCACGCCCCCAGCAGTGCGATCGGACGCCTGGCAAAACTTTGCCAGCATTCCGTTCCACTGCAAACGCAAAAAATAAGGCTTGCATTGAATTCAATGCACCGCCACGTCCCCTCCCGCCCCAAACGCAAGGGGAAGTTTCTCAGCAACCGCGGTGCGTTCCAGCAGCTACCGCTCTGGAACGCAGACGCTTTCGGTGTGAACAAGGCCTGAGGGAGAGGAAGACTGAGGAAATGCTTCCCCCTGCCTGCAGCAGTCTAACCACTAGGAGGGGAGACTGAGGAAATGCTTCCTCCTGCCTGCAGTAGACTCATGACATCATCTCAGCCTAGGTAAAGTCAATGACTGGATGTCAAGGACGGCTTCTTCATGATAAGAGGTGGCCCTTTTCTGATGATTGAACCTGTCGCTGTGCGTTGTGACCTGTCCGGAATTTGTTCATGTAATGACAGGTCCACTTTCAGCACAGAGGTGCGATTGGATGACCGGAGTGAATTCTGCCCCCATTCCGTCCGCTATCAATAAACAGTAGATGAAAGTCTCCTGACTTGGCGAAAACAAATGGTCCTGTTTATGGCGTCTGGTATCTCTGAGGACTGCGGCTTCCTTTATTACAGTATACGATGTTCTGTGTAATCTCCGGGGGTTATATCGCACACAGAAGGTATCATGTAGTAGCGATATATTCAGTAGAATCCCAGATTACAGGATTTCCTATCTCCCGGGACTTTGTCCTTTATCTCTGTTTCTGGACCTTTGTCCGGACACAATCTGCAATATTTTCTTCTTCCTTGTTCTGTTTTATTGTATTTTCTTCCAGACCTGAATCCGTGGTGTGCGCGCCATGTCAGCAACTGGTCCCCCGCGCGGCACGTCAGCGACTGGCCCCCCGCGCGGCACGTCAGCGACT